TTTTGGCACCGGGGATCGAACTCTGGTCCTTGCGCTTGCAAGGCAGGCCACCGAACCACTGAGCTAAATCCCCAGCCTGAGGTTAGGAATTTTTAACAACCATGGTGTCAGGGCTTCCAGCCAGGCCAACTGGGAACACACCTGCCTTGAACCAGTTGGACTTACTGCTCATTGTAACACAGTCTACAGGGGAACTGAAAATTCCTCAGGAAGAGAGTATTAAAAAGGCTTTATAGGATTTGGAATTGTCTGTGGTAATTTGAATGAGGATTCAAAGAAAGAGGCTTGTGCCGGAAGACAGGGACAACTCTCTCTGACTGGCTATCTTAATAAATCTTATGTAGATGGAGGGAGGAAAAGAGGCTCAAGCTGTGATTGTTGGAACAGCAGTCTCTCCTGTTAGCCAAGGTAGGGGTTTTTTGTTTGTTTGTTTGTTTGTTTGGTTGGTTTTTTTTGGTTTTTTGAGACAGGGTCTCACTATGTGGTTGATACTGACCTGGAACTCACTATGTAGCCCAGGCTGGTCTCGAACTCACAGCGATCCTCCTGCCTCATCCTCCTGAGTGCTGGGATTACAGGCGTGAACCACCCAGCTAAGGGTTTGATTATTTTTATGGCTTAGACATGTTCAAGTTTTGTGATATTCTGTTAAATTGTTTATGTTTAATAGAACACCAAGGCCTAGCTGTGTCAGCTCAGCTTCCAGATACTCTGGTTGCTTTTCCGGCCTCGGTAGTAATAATTGAACATTGTACAACACTGCTCTAAGCACTTATATAAATTAACTTATTCTTCCAACAACCCTTGGAGTAGATACTGGTATTTTCTGGATGAGGAAGCTGTCACACTTGACTACCTAGGAAGTGGTGGAGGTGGGGTTCAGTCTCCAGCCATGTTCTAGTCTGACTGCTCTGTCAGCTGGCCAGACTCTCTGGTTTCCTGTCCTGGCTTCACCATTTCATGTCCCGGCCTCATGACTCTGGGCAACTTGCCTGACCTCTCTGAGCCTCATTCTGCTCATCTATAAATTAGGTCCAATAAAGTTTTGTGCCATTATCCAGCAGTAGCAGTCTTGTGAGCCTAGAGCACAGAGCGTTGTTGACTGACGCTGGGGCCTGGGAGGTTCTGGAGACTCCTGCTGGCCTCCCCCGACCTCTCCCCACATCCCACAGGCCACCTAGGGGCCCCGCAGTGCACCCAGTGCCTCATCACCTTCGCTGATTCCAAGTTCCAGGAGCGTCACATGAAGCGGGAGCACCCATCGGACTTCGTGGCCCAGAAGCTACAGGGAGCCCTCTTCATCTGCTTCACCTGCGCCCGATCCTTTCCCTCCTCCAAGGCCCTTACTGCTCACCAGCGCAGCCATGGCGCAGGCACCAGGCTCTCCTTGCCAGATGCACCCACCCCTGCCCAGGCTCCCTTCCCTTGTCCTGACTGTGGCAAAGCCTTTGGGCAGGTGACCTCTCTGAAGCAGCACCGCCAGGTGCACAAGGCCTGCACCCCTCCTGGCCCCTTTGCCTGCACTGAGTGTGGTCAGGACTTCGCCCAGGAAGCAGGGCTCCATCAGCATTACATTCGGCATGCTCGGGAGAGCTCTGAGTGTAACTGAAGCGCTCTCCACAGTGGTGGGGGCTCTGAGACCGGTGGGACCCATGCATGACAGGAGGCCCAGGCCTTCTGGGGGCCCTGGAGGGATTTACTCCCCTCCCTGGGAAGGCAAAGGGCTCTTGATTAGATAGGACTCAGACAGTTCTCTTTAGAGCTTCAGTCTTTGGAGGACAAGGGGCCTTTAGAGATACAGTGAAATTAAATTGTAAGCTCTTTTGTTTTAAAAAATGAGCAAGAAAGACAGCAAGAGGGAAACGTTTTTGTTTCCTTGATTCCCAGTTAAATAACCAGCTACAGATTGTGTAATCACCTTCAATTTTTCCTTTGACGGATACCATGGGTCACAGGAGCAAACTGCCCTGGATCTGTGCCTGTGTGGGCGGCATGGAGGGCAGGTGCTGCTGGCCTAGAAAGCTGCTGGCTAAGTTCCAGACCTGGAGCCACATGGGCCTGTGGTGATGGGACAACAAGCCTGGGTGCTGGACCCCAAGTCACATAGGGGTTGCGATTTGGTTCTTGTCTTCCTCTCACTCCCTGCCAGGCTTCTCCACTCAATAATGTTTTTGTTTTTTGGGTTTTATTTGGTTCCAGGGAGCAAACTTGGGACCTTGTGCTTGCAAGGCAGGTGGCAGAACCACTGAACTAAATCCCCGGCCTCCACTCAATAATGTTTTCTTTTTTGTTTGTTTGTTTGTTTGTTTGTTTGTTTTTTTGAGACAGGGTCTTCCTATGTAGTTGAGACTGACCTGGAACTCACTAAGTAGCCCAGGCTGGTCTCGAACTCACAGCAATCCTCCTGCCTCAGCCTCCCAAGTGCTAGAATTACAGGCGTGTGCCATCACGCCGGGCTATAATGTTTTCTATCTATGTAGAGATGGCAGGAACAAGCTCATGGAAATGGTATCTAAAAAAACAAAACATCCATATTCAAATATCTAAGCCGGGAGCTCTGGCTTTTAGCAGGAAACACTAGAGAACATAAGGATGTGGGGTGGAGGGAGGGCAGGGCAGAGTTAGCCTAGCCTTGTAGGGAAACTAATTTGGTATCAAACAGAGAGACCTTCTGTTCCATGTTTTATCTGGCTAACACTGGGAGATCTCCCATTACGATCCTATTTTAGCTCTCTGAAAGGCGCCAACACAGGGCCTACAAGGTCAGCACAGCAGAAGCTCCAAGCTGGAGCTGAGCAGCAGGTGTCACCCTGACAGGAGATAAGATGCCCCAGGCCTGCTTTACTCCCTAACACTACCTGCTGTGCCTCTAGAGATGGCCTGATGTCCTGCACAGAAAGCTCACAGGCTATTCAGATTGGACAATGTGTTTTTAAGCCCACAGTTGAGATGGGTGTAGTAGAAACCCGAAGGCTGTCTCTGTGTTGTTAGGCACATGGTAGTAGCCAAAAGGGTTACATTTTCTAGACTCCCTGCAGCTAGGTATGGCCATTTTAGGAGTGAATTCCTGGGTAGAATTCTCAAACCTGGGAAAGGGACGTGAGGGTGTGGCACCCAGTCATCTTGGACCAACACGGGAGATGGCAGAGCAACAAGGTAGCAGGAGCCTGGGTCTCTGTTTGGCTTCACACAGCACTTCATATCAGCCTACTTCAACACCATTACCTAAGAGAAATAAACCTCTCTTATTTAAGTCACCATTAGTTTGGGTTTCTGTCACATGACACAGTGTATGTGTAAGACAAGAGTCTGCAAACTAAGTTTTAACTGGAACACAGGTTCATTCATGTGTTTGTTGCCTGCAGCTACTTTCACACCAAACAGCAGATCCGAGTAGTTACAACAGAGACAAAGCAGCTTACAAAGCCATTGGCTTTTACAGTAAAAATCTGCCATAGCCGGGCATGATGGCACACACCTGTAATCCCAGACTGGTGAGGCTGAGGCAGGAGGATCACTGTGAGTTCGAGACCAGCCTGGGCTACCTAGTGAGTTCCAGGTCAGTCTCAACTACAGAGTGAAACCCTGTCTCAAAAAAAAAAAAAAAATTTTTTTTTTTTTTTTGTTCAGGGAAAAAAAAAAAAAAAAAGTCTGCCAGCCCTCTAACTGAAGACGCCTGCTAGCTTTCCCCTCTCAGAACTACTATGAATCTGAAAACAAGGACTCCTATCCTGAGAAACACTACCTCGAGCAAGTGCGTCTGTGTGTGCATGTGCATGCATATGACTTGAAGCTGCTTTTTAGGGGAACTTAATGGGCAGCGGGTTTGGGATTAATTGGCTATCATTTTTTTCCCTAAAAGATTAACTTCACCAGATACTTCCTGTGTTACCTGGTGAAAGCCCACAAGCTTCTGACCCCAGTGTTTCCACACCACCCTGACAGTGCCTCCCCTGATTCCAAACCTAAGACTCTAATCCCACATGCTGTCCTAAGCCAATGCCCTGCCCAAGTGCACTAGAGGCTTCCTTTTCTCTCTGCATTGCTCACATCGCTAAGACTTAGCTAACATCACTGGTGGCTTCATTTTTTGGGTTTTTTTCTTCAGTACTGAAGATTGAACCCAAGGCCCAGAGCTACACTCTCAGCCCATTTTTTGTTTTGAGACAAGAACTTGCTAAGTTGCCCAGGCTGGGATTGGACTTGCGATCCTCCTGCCTCAGCATCCCAGAGTAATGGGATTACAGGTGTTTGTCATCATACCTGGCTGCTTTCCAAATCTCGAATCTTTATCTCCACAGGGCTGGGGATGCTGGGGATTTAGTTCAGGGGTGCCACCGCCTGCCTTGTAAGTGCAAGGACCTGAGCAAGTTCGATCCCCGGTACCAAAAAAAAAAAAAAAATCTTTATCTTCAGCCCAAACCCCAGATGTGGGGCACACCTGCCTGGATGTGGCTCAGTGCAACCCCTGCAGCCCCTGGCCTGCTTAAGTGCCATCCTGTCAGTGAATATGCAGTACTGGAGTCGGACTCCTTACCCAGTGGTAGCTCGTCTCCCAACTGCTGCTCTGTGTCCTCCTGCCTCCCTCATCTCTAACACAGATCACTGTAAATCAGGCCACGTCAGTCCTCCCTCTTGACCCTCCAATGGTACCCCATAAATAGCATCCAAAGGCCTTGCTGCAGCCCACGAAGAGGTCATTTCCCTCCCTCCCTGTTCTGTCTTCACTATATTCCAGCCACTGCCAGGCTGGCTTCTGCCTCAGAGCTTCGGCATTTGTGATTTCCTCTGGGGTGTTCTTAACCCCAGAACTTTGCAAGTCTACCTTGTCGTTCAGGCCTCCACGCATCCACTCGCTGAGAACTCCCTTCAGCCTGCTCGGCCCAAGGGCCCCTCTGCCTCTGCCTGTCTTCGTGGCACTCCAGCCCCTGGCACCACCGCACTTCAAGACGATGCGATTGTCTGTGTCCTTACACTTCACTAGAGTCCAAGCTCCTGAAGGCAGGAAGTGCAGGGCCTCAGACTCTCTCCGCTTCATCCCAGGCCTAGGGTAGGATGGAGGCTCAAATAGCCCTTGCTGACTTCCAGTTGTTAGGGAGTCTCAGCCTCAGGCCCAGGCTTTCACATGGCTCTACATGCTGAGACTTTCTGCAAACTTTCCCAGGGTCCCTTGAGAACCGGCCTCCTTAAGTTTTGTGTTTGAAAGGTACAGAATGGAAGGAGAGAAGAGAAGGCCAGGGACTCCCCTTGCTCGGAATGGTACAGGAGGAGCGGGTGGAGGCACCCCACCTCCAGCAGCTCAGACTCTAGTACCTGCTATACTCTGCACAGCAGGCCCCATGCTCCTCCTGGGGTTTAAGCACCAGCCACGTGGCACCTGGTCGCTGGTTGTCCTGCAAGCTCCTACTGGTCAGCTATATCCCAGTCAGTCCCAGAGTGGGTGTGGATTCTTATACACACCGATTCTTGGGTTGCCTCACTTTCCTAAGTTTGCATTTTCAAGCCTTCCACCACCTGTACATCCTGCTCGCTATGCTTAGTCTCTTTGGGGCGGCCACTCGGCATCCATACCCACTGGGTGCTGACTAAGCCAACTGGAAGGAGACCAGGTGTCCTGAGTCCTGGTGTCTTAGCTGCTGCTGGGTCAGCAATCCTCCCTGTCTTAGGAATCCCTATCTTGTGGCAGAAGAGAAATTAGCATGACTTCCCCAGGCAACAAAAAACCCAGGAGCACACTACAAGTGTGCTGTGGTTTGAGTACGTCCATCCCCTGTGCTCAGCTGCTGGGAACCCAATCTGTGTGATAGGAGCTGGGGCTTTTAGGAGGTGATTAAGTCATGAGGACTCCGCCCTTCTGAATGGGATGAAATATCCTGTAACAGGGCTCCAGGGAACTAGCTAGGCCTTGGGCTTTTCCATTTCTTCTACCACTGGAGGACGACGCAGCAGGAAGTGACCATCGTGGAAGCAAAGAGCAGCCCTCATCAGATGCCAAATCTGGCAGCACCTTGATCTTGGATTTTAACCTCTTAAACCATACATCTGTGTTGTTTATGAAGTACCTGGTCTCAGGGTGTGTTACAGCAGCACAAACACTGTCTTGTTTTCACGAGATGCACATCTCTGCTCTGATGATTATGAGATTCTGTAATGCTCAGCTGTAGTGGTTATGAAACTTTCATTTCAAAGAGTAGATAAATGTTAGGTGCTGCAACTCGGGCGGGAAGTGTGGGCTTCGAAAGACATTTTGGCCTAAGATCCTGTGACAGGCATCACAACTGCAAATGTTCTGTCGCACCAAGCGGGCAGGGTGTGGGGCCCGGGAACCCGAATGAATGCTCCACCCACAGGAAGTAGCCCCTACTCACTTCTGACAAATTATTATTTTATGGGATCATGGGTTCAGTAAACCGGACCTCAGTTTTTTAAACGAAGCCAGAACACCTCCATTTTTATGTGATATTACCTATTTTTCAGTGTTGGTAATCAATGTAGTCTTCAAAACCTCAGTAGCTCTGTGGAGGCCAGAGACACCCCGTAAAAACCAGATGGTGGCCATGGGCAGTCACAGTGCTACCTCTGCTGCGTGGCTTGCTGGTAAGAATGTATGCTGTGCCCAGTTGTCTGGTGCAAACCTGGACTCTGTTTCTTACTGGCTGTGTGACTTCCAGCAAGTGACCCAACTTCTCTGTGCTTTTGCAGTGGCTGTACAGTGGTGCTGAAAATAGCCCCTCCACCTCTCAGGACTGCTGTGGGGATGGAGAGTAAGCCACGGTGGGAGGAATGAGCTAAACAACCTGGCCCCACGGCTGTGTGCCGCACCCACCCCGCCAGCCCACCCTATGCCTTCCTGGGCCCCAGCCTGTGGCTCCACGTGCGCTCTGCAGATGTCCCAAGCAGGCTCCGTGTCCAGACATTGGCACTCAGTGCTCCCACGGTAGCCACAGGCCACTCCTCCCTCCAGGTCCTGCTTGGATGTCACCTCCTCAGTGGCCTGACCTGTGTCAAAAACCACAACCCCCAAGCCTCCCAACGCTTCCTCCTTCCCTCTCCACACCCGCTGCTCACCTTCTAACACCCGACACATTTTGTTTTACTTAACATCTGCTTATCGCGCTCCATTCCCTTATAACCTCTACAAAAGCAGGACCTTTAATCCATCATGTTCACCCTTGCAGGACAGCACCAACCACCTCACAGGCACTCAGTAAATCTCTGTTGAATG